CGAATAACTCCAAAAAAGGTACATTTTTTTGAAAAAAATGAAGACATAAAAATTGAAGAGAATTAAAAAATCTATCAGATACAATGAGAAGTAGTTTTGTATCATAGCGATCTATCAACTTATGAATTTTCAATTCTGTTAATTATTCGGTTTTGATAATTTAATTATTTAAGGCGCGAAAATCGCAGAACAAAACAAAATGTTTGATGATTTAGATCAGTTGAGGTATTATAAATACAAAACCCTTACATCTCGTCAAGTTCTTAGCAATAATTTTGAGTTAGCTACTTTGCCTCCAACTTCAGACGGAGCTGATGAGAATCATTACTATAGGACTTACTTACAAATTCAATATTGGCTTAATAATAAAAAAGAACCAACACATTGGGGTTGGGATGAAAAAAAAGACATGTTGGTTCCAAAAACTATGTCAAAGGCAGTGGCACCTGATTTTGTTCTGAATATGATATATTGCAACTGCAAGTCAGGATGTAACAAATTATGCACATGTATAAAGTCGAATATTCCGTGTTTAATCCTATGTGGTAATTGTAATGGCATTTCTTGTGACAACAAACAAATTTCCGTAGATGAAGAGCAATTCGAATAGGATGGAATAAATCATATCCCAGTTATCGGTTTTAGTCACTGTTGAATGGTAACAGAAAGGCCTTGGTTCACTCTCATGATGTTATTTGCTACTAGAAAGTTAATTGTCACTTATAATTAATTACACTAGAGCCTTTTTTTGTCAAAGTAAACTTGATATTTCAATGAGAATTTTGTTGCCTGGCAATTTGAGTTAAATTGCCTAAATACAACAAAACTCGAATTATAAAGTAAAGTTTCCTTCTCGACAAAAAAAAGCTTGAGTGTAATTCGGTAAGACAATTTAATGGATACCTACGTAAATGACAAATTTTGCTGGTCATGTCAAGCTAGGTTCAGTTTTTTTTCTCGAGTGGTATTGGTCATGACTATTTCACGTAAGATTTTGAAAATAAATAGAATGCAAAAATATGAATAAAAACTTCAAATTAAAAATATCAGTTTGACAATGTCAAAAACTGGTCTCTGAAATACCATGTTGTTGGTATTGTCCAGGTAGCAATATTGTCAGGTGAATACCGAATTTATTGTCGAATGTGATACCACAAGAGGTTTCAGGATTACCGGATAATACTTTTACCTGTCACGAAACGCGTTACGCAGCAACACCACGACTCCGAAGGAGGAGTGGTGTTGCTGGTAACACGTTGAGTGTCGGGTAAAAGTATTAGGTAATCCTGAAACTTCGAGTGGTATTTAAAAGGTTATACAACGAACTAAACTTTGATACTTTATTAATGTTCATTATTATTAATAGTAAATGAACAATATTGCCACCAAGCGCGATAATCCTAAAAGCCTCTCGTGTCATATGGGAATAATGTACAATGAGTTGTATAACCGGTGTAATACACTCTATTGAAATAGTCGCTGTAATAATGACAAAAACACCAGTCCTTATGAGATTTTTTGTGTATAAATTAAATTGTCAATTTAAATTTGCTTATTACCTATCCTGTCTTTTGGCCAAAACATTGTAAAATTCCTTGTCAATTTTTTTTTGCGTTGATTAGTATTATTGTATTGAATCTGCGATTACTCATTATTAGTTCATACGAGGGTAGCTGAATTAAATTAATATATAGGTAACACTTTTACAGTGTTTTTTTATTTAAATAAATGTTAAAAGGTAATTTTATTTGTTTATTGGGATTGAAAAAATGCATTAACTGCATTATGGTCTGGTTCCCTTGATTTTGCTAAGTTTCCAAAAATTCAAAAAATTCTAGATTGTTACTACGTTATGGTACGCATTCAGTTTTTATGATACCTCCTTCATTTTTTCATTCTATTCAATTTTCCTCTCTTGAGTTTTTTCGATAGAATGTACCGTTTCTGACTTATTCACGATATTTTCCGAAAAGTGCCGAAATTCAAGATGGCGGATTGTTTTTTCTAATGACGCAACAACCGGACGAATGGGGACTTTTGGAATGTTTACTAGGAGTACTAACGCTAACTATTTTTGATAGTTGCAGCTTTATAAAAATTTTTGCAAATTCAAACTTATTTGCACTGGCCTATTGAGGATACTACATTCTTTGTACCATCGTCCCATTTTTGGTAAAATGATTAAAAGCAATTTGCAACGGAGAAAATATGTTGGCGTTCGGACCGCTTCCAGAAAAATACTGAAAACTTTAAATATTTATATGTTTTTATATTTATTTGTATGTTTCTACACCCATAAGTGAAAACATAATAAATAACTTGCAGATTGCAGATACGCCACCGCAAAAAATTATTGGGAAAAAACATTCCAATCTCACGTAGCGGTGTAAGTAGATATACGCCTATACGTGAGAAATGAATTATCATGTGATGCAGATAAGCCAAAATATAACAGTTAGATTCCAGCAAAACAGTTGAACCTATACGTGTAATACTGCTTGAGGTTATAGAGCACCTAAAAATATGTATTTTACTGGCGTAACTCAAAATTTTAAATTTTGTCAGTTACGCCACTACCTGCGGAGACCGACGCTATATTCAATATTGAAGAGTTTTTGTTTAGTTAGCCAGTTTCACCAGCAGTAACTGAGGTCCCATACGGGAGGCTACTCAGCTATAGTTGTTATTTTGAGCCAAAATCTCTAGATTGATTTTTCAAGTTGTTTGCCAGGATATTTGTTCGTCAGGGTAGAAAAATGTTAGTAGATTCAACAAGGCCCTAATGTACGCTCTGAATACCAAAAATTAAAATCCCAGCACAAAAGATAGTACATAATTTCTTTGGTTTTAATATACTTTTTATCTGCGGTGTTCAGTGCATGAAACGATTTTTGTTAAATATATGAACAATGCACATGTTATAAACAAACAAAAAAATAACATAAAATGAAAAAAAATAATACTTGTATAAATTAAACTCTCAAAAAAGAAAATAACATTCAATCAACTGACCTGTGAATGCTCCTTATGACACACAAACTAATCACAAATTGTATTGAACAATCAGTTTAGTACAAAATAAAAATTGAATAATGAACAATGGCAGACTTGTTCTCTAGTCTCTCATTTTCTATCTACCCTTCGGTACTCTCTTCGTGTGGCGCGGCGTCTTCATTCGCCCCTACTTGACAGCGCATACATGGTTGCAACATTTACCATTTGCTTTTCTATAGTAGACGTTTTAAAAAGTTAAGATTCGAAGAAATAATTTTTTAAATAGGTGGTTTTCCTACCATCATTAAAAATTCCGGTTTAAACTAAATCTGCGATTAAATGCAAAGTTGGTGTCAAATGATAATTTATGGAAAACTTAGACAAGAATGTATGATCGGTTTTGCACTAAAATTAACCGTTTAGGTTTAAGAGTCTGTCAAAATTGCAAAAAAATCAATTTCTACTGTCAATATTTCCGAAAAAGTTGAAGATAGATATAGGACATGATACATTAAATAGGTTCAGAATTAAACGGAGAACATGAAAATGAAATAAAAAATTGGTGCTTTCATTTTAAAAAATAAAGTTAGCTGTTATAACTTATATATCGATCACCTGTATACATATTATCATCAAAAAAACGGCCATTAAAATCAACAATCGACGTGTCCGAGGTATTTAAAAAAATATCAACCCTGTATATTTTATGGATTTTATTCCAACCTTTACGTGCTCACTGTATATATTTGTGCTTCGATGCTCTTTGTCTGATTCAGGTCCGCTTCCTGAATAACTCAGAGAACGGAAATGTGACTACACACACATTGATTGTTTGTTTGATGTTTTATACCAAAATTTAATTCCAACAAATATCTGCCAAAGCACTTTTGACATAGTTTAGTCAAATAATACTGAAAATAAGGTTCAAATAATATAATTTTCACGAACCGAGCTTAAAAATAAAATAATCATTGCCATTGATGGTTACACGTTAAAAAGATGGTGATTTGCTTTTAAACAGAAAAGAGATGTTTGAAATTTCTTTGGAAAACATAAGTATTTGTACCAAAGCTTTAACACACTGTTAATTACTCATACTTTGAGTTTGTATAACTCAGTCAATGGAAAAACCGGAATTCTCAATCATTGGGCATTACCACCAAATGCAGACCGTTAGTTTTCGATTTTTGCTTTGTTTGACTACGGAGAGAGGGAGCCTCATGCTATTAAAGATATCTCTCTTATCGTTTGAATCTCCTGCAAACCTGTTCCTCTAAGTTGTGTGCTTTTGCCTATATTGCACTGATGAGAGCATAAAAAGCTCGAAACCGGTCTGCAATTGCTGGCACTGCCCAATGATTGAGAAAGGTCCACTCCCTTAGGACGGTGATGATGATAAACTAGATAAATAATAGTTAAGATACAAATCAAAGTAACATATACATTATAACATAATATAGAAAAATATTAAGGAAAATAATTCTGTGTTCTTCTTTTTGTGAGTAATTTATCCAGATCTATATTTGAATTCAAATAGCAGACACTAATTCAAGATCACGGATAAACACATATTTTTGTGCAAATCAAAATTAAATTTCAGAAGGTTCGAAGTGGGGGCAATGATTTTTCCACCCTCATTTCTATCAATAAACTTACCTTTTCAAGACGTCTGAAGGGCACAGGTAACTAAGTACTCCACATACTAGCTCAAGGTATATATCCACTGTATTCTAATTGGACAGGACCGACCCTAAAGATGGGCCGAATTCGATCGGTTAGATATTCCTTGATATTATATAATTTTCAGACCATTAAAAATATTTGTGCTTTCTTGAACTTGCTTGGTGTATACATATTCCCTCATCATAGTTGAAATTTTGTACCTTCTAATGGTTCAGTTTTTAGGCTTCCATTGAAGCATCTAATTGTCATGTTTATTTATTAAATTTCTTGATTCAAATTTTTAATAGACCAGAGCTAATAGTACCAATTAAAATTTGTTTCAGATGTTTGGAAAAATCGAAAGTAATGATCTGGAGTCCGAATCTTCGTTATCACGAAATAATAATTTCGCATCGTTTTTTCAAGCAGTTTTAGTATTGTTTAGATCTGCAACAGGTGGGACATTCATTTCTCGAAATTGATAATTAACTTCAAATATTGTTTTGTTTTTCTTAGGAGAAGCTTGGCAAGAAGTGATGATGGATTGTGCGGATACTAAGAAAGCCCGATGTGATAGAAGACTTAATCGGCAACCGGGCGAACCTCAACTTTGTGGCTCCGATACGGCGTACCCATATTTTATTTCATTCTATGTATTATGTTCATTTTTGGTAAGTATACCTAATTATTAACTATTTTACTGTATAATCGATAACAAACAAGGAAAACAAATATTTCCTAAGGCTGAGAAGCTAAATAATTGCTCCCAACTATTTTTCTTTTCTACTGTAAGAAAATGACGTTTTCGCCCATTTAATTGAATGGGGGTAGAAAAAAACACTTTTTCTTCCTAAGGAGTAATTTTTTTTTCTCTTCCTCTATGAGTTTCTTAGTTTTTTTTTCCAAATTTTGATTAAAAAGGTTCCTAAATAAATAATTATTTTGTGAAGCGCAAATAATAACATTCGTACGACTTGCGACCCTAGTGTTCTAAGGGAACAAGAAGTCGCTAGATTTCGCTCTATTTTTAGTACATAATTAGCTTTTCGTAATTTTTTTCATAATTTCAATAAGTTATTCCCAAAATTCGAAAACCTCACCCAAAGAAATGTTATCCATTTGTGTGAAAACTAGCCTCATCAGATGTGATTAACATAAAGATAGTTCCAACGTAGCAGAGTTAACCATGTTTATGCAATGAGCAAATGTATATCAAACCTTGGAGAATCGATTGTTAAGGATCTCATTTCAATCAGCTTGAGTATCAAAATGATCAGAGCAAGTCTTCTTTGCAGAGCAGGGCCAAAGTAAATCGGTAGAACTTTGTATGAGATCATGCGGCACTTATATCTAGTCCATAAGTCATGTCAGTTTGCACCTCAGCAATTTTCGTATTAGTTGGTCAATGAGCTGATAGCAGATGACGACTTTTGTTATGTTAGTAATTTGTTCAAGAAATTTTTGAAATACATCTAACGAGTTGATTGGTGTATAATACCGCACCTTTTCTACAATGGTCTTTGACATACATTTTTATTATTCTCATTTCCAGCGAACACATCATTTGCCGTGTCTCGGAAGTGTCTCGTCTTGTTTCAGCTTTACTCCAGTTATATTAGGCCAAAAAAAGCAGCATCTGCTGAAAAAATCCGAGTGAGCCTAAATTTTGTCTACACCTTTATTTTACCTCAAGAAATAATGTCTTAAAAGTCCCCATCAATATCGTGCTTGCGTTTTCAGATATTCAAGGTCAAAAGTCATGAACGTCATTTAATAACGATTGGTTGCCAAATGAATGACATTTGTTTCATTGGTTATCTTTCAACTATGTTCGACCGGTCAATCGCATTCAATCGATGTAAGTTAGTTTAAATCTAGTTAGCAAGAAGTCTAGACGTTTTGTGATTTAATTACCCATCGCGATGGATGAGTCTTGTTTTATTTGCAGTCAATTGCTGTCGAAAGGTGTTACCGTGACTGTAAAACACGGTATAGATGCTTTGAGAGACGCAAGTGCGGAAAGAGAAGATGAACATGCAGAACGTTTAAGGGATACAGATTCGGCAACAGTACATAAAAATTGTCGCAAGGAGTCCTTTCATTTTTCTCGACATAAGTGTGGTGACTTGCTTACCCTGCACTTATATCGCGTATTAGGCTGACAATACTTTGCGTGGGTCCCCTCACTATCAGGATCACTTTAGGCGGCCAGTGGACGAGCCCCCTAGTATTGTTGGTGTGAGCTGCTTACGAGCATTAAGAAAGAAAAGAAAGATCCAACGATTAAATCCTCCGGGCGCGAAATAAGGTTTTCGGAAAACCCAGTTCGTCGTAAGGGAAGCCCGCATCAATCCTCGAATTGGAGGTTGGTATCCTAGGGGAGTAGCATAGTGTCATCTAAAAGACGACGAGATGACGATGCTGCCGGTACATCTCAGTATTTTCTTCGCAAAACACGCTTTAGCTTAAGATCTTTTGGTTTAAAAACTTTGTGTTTTTTTTTTGTGGTAAAGAAGCCAACGAGGAAACAGAGACAAAAAAACTAAGAAATATCAATGCATAGATAATTAGAAGTTTGGCGATGAGCGGAGAACCACGCAACTTCCTCTAACAACACCAATCAAAAAATTAAAAAGATCTGTAGGGTCATGGTGGCTTAGTTGGTTAGAGCGTAGCACCGACAATGCTGAGGACGCGGGTTCGAATCCCGCCCAGGACCAAAATTTTCAATCCTCCAATTTTCCTTGGCTTTCTTTTCGTTTTCAATTTCCACAATTTTCGGTTGTTGTAACCGACAAAACTTCATTCCTTTTCGACCATGATTTGTTTCCGCGATACTCAGTCATATTTGAAGTGAAGCTTGGTATGAAAATAGGAAATCTCAATCGACAAAAGAACGCCTTCGAATTGTACAAACTTTGTCCAAAATATTCGTTTCATGACTGTTGATTGTCAATCTTATCCTCCTCCCAGTAGAATGTTTCATAATCTTAAGGAAAACATCACACAGAGCCTTTCATACTTTATTGAAGAATTATTTCTGAAAAACAGAAAAGGCAAAACTAACCATCTTAAGTGTAAGTGTACGGCTATTTGTCATGCTATTATGGCTACGATACGTGCACAATCCTTCCTATCTAACCTTTTGTAGATATTTTGTCAACTCTTGGATTCAGCGAGTCGTATAGAGGTATTTTTAATGTATGAACTTGTTGCTGTCTATCATTCACAATCAGATATTCTATCATTTGAAACTGGTGCTCTTATTCAGTATTCAGCAGACAATGCAGATATCAATGTCTACACAATAGACGGCCACAACACGCTTCACATTATGGCGCTTATTAAAATAGTAACACCAAGCAGCGCTGTTGCTTCTGAAGAATCCATGAAGAAATATACCACGATGTAACGGTCAACCCATCGGTCGGTACCAAAATAAACGGCCTCTCGATGAAACGGGGGACGGATGATGACGTAATCTTTACGGTAGGTTGCTGATGCGCAAAACGGTCCCTGCTCGGGCGCCAAAGTTGCAACGGGTTTTCCTAGGTTTTTCCTTGAGCTGTGGCAGCCTAACAGTCGGTATTTATCTTTTGGTTAATCCAGCGATAATTTCGGGAGCCATCCTCAAGATTATAGTGGTTGAGGGCCCACCAGCACCAAGTAGCTTGTTACAGTAAAGAAAGAAAAACCAGAGGTCAATGCGCAGATAAAGGAATAAAACAACTATGGGTAGATAATCGACGAATAATTCATCGATTACTCATATATGTTTGATAAAACCTTAACCAAATTGTTCTTAATTTATAACAGCTCCTCATAGAGCAATAGTGTACGGGCGAAGAGAGAGTGCGAGGGAGAAAGAGAGAGTAGTAGTGCATGCGGTCGTCATGGTATTACGGTACAAATATTAGCGCAAAAGCGGAAAGCGGTAAATATGTATGGCTCAGCGGGGTAGAAAGTATAACTGATCTATGTCCGTACGTTCAACCAGGACATAAGGATTGCGGTTATCCTGCTGGACTTGTCTGTACAGCCGAGACTTGTCCTAATCAGTCTACTCACTACCCAACTCTTTCCGGTACGGGGCGCAGTATTTCGGAGCCAGAAGTGAACGGTACAAATGTTAACACCAAATACATTATGGGCTGATGCTGTGTTTAATGTTAACATTTGTACGTCGTGGAAAAGGGGACAGATTACGAGAAGGAAGATCGCACATCCTACATCTAAAAGACACAACAAGAAAGATCATGGATTAGGCCTTCAGTAAAAATACAATATAAAAAAAAACGCGCCTTGCATCTTACCTCTGGGGTGGTATGGAAACGGGTGCTACCCTCTGTATTCCTGGCGTATCAGGTGGAAGCCGGTTGGTATGACGTAAAATATGTGAATAACATTTTTTGAAGAGAATTTCCCAATATTTTTAGCCAAAATAGTCGTAGGACATACCGAAAGCAAAATATTTAAGAAAAAATCATTTCTGTGATATTTGACCTTGAATATCTTGGAACGCAAACAAGATATCGTTGGGGACTTTTAATACATTAATTTTTGAGGTAAAATAAAGGTGTAGACAAAATTTAGGCTCACTCGGATTTTTTCAGTAGATGAATCCTTGTATGACTGTACTACTTTCTATGTCATGATAACTCTAAGTGCTCCCTTATAAATTTTTATTTCACTATCTGTTGAGATATTTGTTCCTCCATCTCTTGAGCAATCACCTGATTTCTTCCAGTAGATTTCCAGAACTTGTTATTTCAGCTACCACATATTTGAAGCTGTTTACTTTTTCGACAAAATTCTGATCCATATCTAATTTGCTTCATGTCGGCTCTTGAGATGCTGATCTCGTCTGTGTCAATGATCATGTTCAATTGTGTTGCTGTTTGATTAAAGGAATATAATAGTCTCTGTAGCTCGTCTTTTGAGTCAGCAATGAGTTCCGCAGTTCCGCGTCATCAGCATAGCAAACAGCATTGAGATAAGTGTTAGTTTGTTATGAACGAAAGTGAATCGCATCGCCATATTCCTGATTTGTATTCTCGTCGATTATCAGCTGCTTTCTTTCCTGGTTTTCGTAATATGTTTCCCACTCTAGTGAATTGATTTTATTGGTCTGTGTAACCTTGACTTCTAATCTATATGTTTTTAACGTTTCCCATATCTTTGTCTGGTTTCCTTTATTTTCCAGTTTTCTTGGATCCCGATAAGATACATAATTATGTCCTTTTTTTTTGTATTCACATAAATCCTTTATTTCTAGTGTACTTGACCCCTTGAACTATTGAGATATTACCACTCCTTTTCGTAAAGCTTCATTAGCTGCATTGAGAAATATTATTTTTTAGGATTTCCATTACGCATCTACGATTTCTTCACTCTCGATTGGAGTTAGTGTAATCTCATCTGGTAAACTATTTCCATAATACTGTTCCACACTCTTAGCTTCCAATGACTCAATATTATATTAGGATATGTTAGGTGGTTTTGGTGCGATGGGTATGTTTATTATCATTTGGCTTATTATCGCTCCCAATATTGACTAGATCAAGTGTTCCCTCGCAGATGGCTGCCGTCTTTCATTTTGCCATTTTAGTTCATATTGTGGTGGAAAAAGGTGTTGTTTATCATCATTATGTTTAAATCAAAAATAAAAACTTCCACGGCCGGCCAAATCTAGTGAAAAGATTTCTTCCGGGCTATATTGCCGTCATCTATAACTTCTCTCTTCCGATGAGTGGATTTGAAGTTGATGAGCCTGCGGTGTTTATAACCGGTCTTTCTGTGTTAGATCTATTCGGCAATTGATGATTTTTTTGTTTGTCCCTACTGACAGTTTCTTTCATGCTCCTCAATTCTAATGTTTATAATTCGTTTGGTTATTCCTACAAATACCTATCCGCAAGAGCAGGGAACTTTAACGCCAGCGGTTTCGAGAGACGCACAAGGATCTTTGGCCGATCTAAGATTTTGCTGCATGGGTTTTGTGGGCTGGTATTTGTTCTACGTAATCAGTTACGTTTTTAATGCAGGAAAGAAAGGTTCTTCCTTTGTTATACGCTGTTGTTTTGGTCGTTGAATTTTTATTATCGGCTTTGAGTAGGTATTTCCTTCAAGTGCCATTTTTAGGTGTAGTGTCTCATCCTAAAGATATCTGGGTTGACAAATCCAGATTCGCATGTAAGAGAGGGAATTGATCGAGGAATTGATCATTCTTCTCTTTTGCCTAAGTTGCTGATTGGAGTCGTTGAAGTAGCTGTTCGTATGGGTTTGCCTAATATAAGTATACTCTGTATCCTAGTTTATCTAGGGACAATAATTCTGAGAGGACGTCAAAAAATGCAATTATGTTGTCATTCTTCACTTCCATTCCATAGCTAGTGAACTTTGGTTTTGTGAATCTTCACCTATTATTCAACACATATTCACACATAACCAATTATAAAATGATCTAATTCGGAATTTATTCGCAAGTTTGCTTAGTCGACCGATAACAAGTATTGTGCGCGAACGCCTGCAAAAAGACTGACAAGGAGCCTTTCAATAAAAAAAGTGAATTTTATGATATTCTTTCAAATAAAATCATCATTGAGACATTTCTTTAAGTTAATTTAACCCTAACCCTCAATTCTTAATATGCCATGATTTTTAAGTCTCGTTTGTGTTCTTGGACGCTTTCTAAACGTCGATAAACACTCGGCATATTATTTTCATCATAGAGATCCTGATGCCAGAGTCCAAGGTTATAATATAATGCTGACTATGAAATAGTTTTCGTAGTCTTACAGTGAATATTTCTTCGAAATTTTTGTGCAAAATTTAAAATTTTTTTCGAGGGCAACTTTTACATAAATCGTGAAAAACTTCATTATACCTACAAATACTCCAAATAAAATAATATTTGCCTCCAGCCGTATGCAATATTACCTACTCATCCATAACCAATTATTGCCGGATATGTTTTTGTCCAGGGAGTCCAGCCTGTATTTTCGATTTTGGTAAAACTCTTCAAATTGTGCCAATATATGTGTTGGTCGATATTGTCGTTTCAAATACACATTTTCCGATAGTTTCCGAATATTTTCAATGCCATTTTGAATGTTTGGGCTAGTTTTTGAACACATTTCGAATGTTTCACAATGACAATAAAAAATTAAAATGACCCTTCATATTGATATGCCTTAATGAAAACGGCTTTGTGAGACAATCATTCCAAGAAGTATTCATTTGAATTGGATTTAGGATTAATTACCTATACATTCAAATTAACTAAATCATATAAACTCGGATTAATTTCAATTTAAAATCTGATCATGCCAGAAGTGATTTAATGTTTGTGGAAGACGGTAATAATAAATGCAACATTCAATGGATTCCACAGGGAAATTGAATAAACCCTAGATAGAAACGATCTTATAAACGCATGGATAATGTTTACATAGGCGCTTTTATGTATCGACTCGAATTTGACAGAAAAATAGCTTGACGACACCTGGGAATCACTGAATTTGGGTCATTTCCTCTTGCTTCCGTTATTGGGCTACGAGTAGACGTATCGATAAATATCCAGTAATATCCGACCAAATAACTTCCTTTGAAGTGCATTATAGCATTAATATTTTAAGTGCGTAAACAAAAACGCTGGAAAATTTTAATTTTGGAATACAAACTATAAAGTTAGGCCATGTCTAATAATCTTTCAGCACATAGTAAAATGTTTATTACTTATTTAGAATACTTTGATTTTAGAAACCGCAACTGTATTTAACCGGATCGTATTGATTTGTTACACTTCACTTCACAGACATCTGGGGCCTATTTCATAAAAATAATTAGTTGAAGAGTTGAGGAGTGAGGAGTGACCTAATGTTACATTTCATTTCATAAAAGTTTTGAAGAGTTGAGGAGTAGACGCAAATTTATTTTGAAACAAATACGACATTTACTTTCCACTGCTCAACTCTTCACTCTTCACTCGTCGCTCATCAACTCTTCATTTTTATGAAACAAGCCCCTGGTCGTCGCTTACAATGGAGCACATACTTCTCGAATGTCAGTTAGGCTTGTTTTGTTTCCCAAATAAAATTTTAAATCGCCAATACGCATGTAATAACTTTTCGAATTGAAACTTTGTAACGTTAAAAGAGAATTCTAGAATAATACATACAATTTAAAAACTAATTTTCCTTTTAAGGATTTGAAGGCTTATATTATAAACAAGGGACTAGAAGCACGTAAATACTTGTTTATTTAAGTTACTCAATGGAAACGATTTTTTTTCAAGCCATTGTAATATATATGGTGGTGGTTTAACTTTAAAACTGGTTGCATGAGGCATTTCCTTATATAAGTCACATTCCAAATGTTTAATGTTCTTAACACTATCTTTTTCCTCAGGTTCGAATTTCCTGACAAACATTCCCAACATTTTCAAGTACTTCTTCATCTACGGCTTCCATTGCATTCTCGAATATGTTTTCTTGGCCTTCCAGGATTTTCTCGAGTCTGGGTTGTGGGGAAAAATGACTCTCAGAAAGCTTGGTTTTCGCTATCAAATCCAGTATCGATTCCAGTCACTATTCTTATATCACTTTGGGTTTCCGAAAAGAACACTATCTATTGTCCGGGAACTTTTCAGAAAACCGGTTTGTGAAAATGCTTTTTGGAGTCGAATTAGCTTGAATCAATCTACTCATTATCTTGCTAATCGTCTCCCTAATCAGCTCGAACCAATGATTTAATTAGGTACATATTCAGCTGAATTTGGGTGATTAGTAGTCTCGCTAATTCTGACACAAAATTGTCATGGATACCGCGGTTTCACTGAAAACTTTATTCTACCAACAATAACAACATTAATTTAACTACGTAACTAACTTTAAAAAATTCACTTACCTATCGCGATAAATTAACTTTACGTAATAATTTTCTTATTTGATCGAATGACTGACTCAAAAACTACGCGCTTTATATACAAAACCATTTAATCGAGAAATCTCTTGAATCATGTGAATGCTTGTTTTATGAATAACTAGCTGACCCGGCGAACTTCGTAGCGCCTCTGAATTATTAAATACCTATTAAATGTTGTGTTAACGTATCTATTAGCTGAATTAAATTCAGTTTTTTTTCCGATGGTGAATTTGGCTTTGGTTGAAGAATATTAATGTTTGCTCTCTAGATCAGAAGTCACCTAAAATTAAAATTTAACATCATCCCTTTCAAGGCAGCTTGTGGGCATTTTTCTTGTGAAGTGTACCACCAAATAAATAAACTCAGGCACAGGAATGTTCAAAGAATGTACAGAAAACAAAAAAAAAATCTACAGCGCAGCCCTGTATCACTCTATCTGCACTGCACTACTCCATCTGTTCTACTCTATTTGCACTATTCTATCTGATCTACTATTTCTGCATCACTCTATCTGATCAGAATAGTGGAATAGTTCTGTTCTAAATATGTCCAGTTCCTGAGCAGCATGGTTCTACTGCATCTGCAATGAAATTACCGCGCATCGGTGAGCTTCGTTCTAGGTATCATATATGGCGCCGTATACAAAATGGTTGTGGCGGACTCATAACCTGGCTCTCTGCCACTCGACACCAGCCGGACAGAGCACTCCGAACAGGCGGCACGGATCACGGCTGTCTGAGAGGAGAAACGGAACTTAGCCACAGAATGTCAATGGTCAAGCGTCAAGAAATGACAGGGAGACCAGTTCGCGCTCTTTCGGAATGAACGAACCAACAACAAAATAAAATACACAATTAAAACATTGTCATTCTATTTATTTTTGGACATTTTTACTGTGAAGAACAATTAAAAATAAAGAGCTTTCCTCAAATTGTTTTTGTGCAAAGTGTGTGACAATAAAATCCACATAGTTTGCAATGAAAATGTGACGGTAAACTTGGTATCGGTTATAAGAGATGGCGCCGTATGCGGGCTTAGTGAGTTTTTTTCATAAATAAGTAAAATAGATAAAAAAAAATTTGTTTTTTTTTTTTTTTGGATTTTTTCGATTTATTATGTTAGGATGGACAAAGACAAATCGAATAAAGCAAAAATCATAAAAATCAGTCCAGCCGTTCTCGAGTTATAAGCGCTTCCACACCAACACAACTGTGTTTTATATATATAGATACAATGGTAAAGAATACCTGGATATACGGGCTTAGACCGCAATGCAATTTCTCAGCTACTTATATGCGAAAATATATTTTCTCGACATATTTTTACAAGTAAATTAAATTTTTGTTCACCTATATCTGGAAACTGAAACTTGTAACTCATTGATGGAAAAGAAATTCAAATTTGTATGAATTTTTACATGGTGAATTTTTGAAGAAATTTCATATTGTGTTTTTCTATTTCAGATTATAAATTTGTTTGTAGCTGTAATTATGGACAATTTCGACTATTTAACAAGAGACTGGTCAATTCTTGGACCACATCATTTAGACGAATTCATAAGGTTGTGGAGCGAGTACGATCCGGACGCAAAGGGTCGTATCAAGCACTTAGATGTTGTTACCCTACTTAGAAAAATTTCCCCTCCTCTAGGTTTCGGTAAATTATGTCCTCATCGCGTAGCGTGTAAGCGATTAGTTTCGATGAACATGCCGTTAAATAGCGACGGGACAGTGTTGTTTAACGCCACATTGTTTGCCGTTGTACGGACGTCTTTGCGCATAAAAACGGAAGGCAACATCGACGACGCAAATTCGGAATTACGGGCTGTTATTAAAAAAATTTGGAAAAGAACTAGTCCTAAATTGCTAGACCAAGTTGTGCCCCCACCTGGGGTTGATGATGAAGTGACCGTTGGTAAATTTTACGCGACATTCTTAATACAAGACTATTTTCGACGATTCAAGAAAAGAAAGGAACAGGAACTTAAGGATGGAGATAAAGACCAGCATAATACTGTAACTCTTCAGGCAGGTCTAAGAACTCTCCATGAAGCTGGACCAGAATTAAAGAGAGCTATTTCTGGAAATCTTGATGAACTTATTGATGATAATCCCGAACCAATGCACCGGGTAAGACTTTTTTTCATTTCTCATGCCTGAACAAATACTACTCTTGATTCCTCCTCCCAAATACTATGCTTCAATTTTTAGCATAAACCATTGGTTACCTAATAGTACAAGCGGTAGGCAAAAAAAGTAACTTTTCTGTCAGAAAACATGCCGCTCTGCAGGTCTAGTGCAGAGCTTCAAGGAATTGATTTCACCCGAAGCACAACGATTCCCGACCACGTGTGTTCAAAATGGCGGCGTTTAAAGAAATTAAAAAAAAAATCTCAATTGTGCCGAGTTTGGTGTCGTTTTCATACAAAAAAAGGTCACTGAGATCAACTTCGAAGTACAAAATGTCGCGAGATTACTAGTTTCAGTCCCACAGGTATAAAAGAGGATAATTTTGATCCTACTTTGCCGTCAACCGTGTAAAATTTGTTTAATTGCTTATAAACCAATAAAACTTGTTATAAATGAAGTAACAGAATTCATCGAATAATGAACCTAGAGGTCAAATAGAACAAAAAGAACAGTTCTCCGAACAATACCAGATCAAGATCAAACTAATCCACATTTGGAGATACCAGACCAAACAGATACAACTCTGGAAATGACAGATCTGACAGAAAATGAGCATAGAACAGTACAAGAAAACCTAGAAGATCAACCTGACATAAGAAAACAACTGAGAGAGAGAACAGAGCTGAACAAACCTATTCGTTTTGAGGAGTATGTTATGACAGTTGCTGCAGAAATAAGCGAACCACAGGAGCCACTAAGCTACAAAGATGCTATATTACCTGCATTGATAAAGAAAATTGGATTTTGGCAATGGATAAAGAAATACACTCAATACAAGAAAATTGTACTTGGTAGGTTAAGAGGTTACCACCAGGAAAGAAGGCAGTACCATGTAAGTGGGTGTATAAAGTGAGAACCAATCCAGATGGGTCCATTGACAAGCTCGGCTAGTTATCAAAGGTTGATAACACAGAAAAGGTGAAGATTACGACCAGACTTATAGTCCTGTAGCCAAGGGAGGAACAATTTGGTCACTCCCCAGTATCACTGCTAGCAAGAATATGACACTCAATCAGTTGATGTATGTACGTACCTACTGCATTTGTCTATGAAAAAATAAATAAATAAGTCTATCTATATGAAGCAACCAAAGGGGTATGAAGATAGAAGTAACATGGTCTGTAAATTTCAGCGCAGTCTTCATGGACTAGAACCAGCACCTAGATGTTGGAATCAAAGATTTACCGATTAGATAGAAGTTCTTGGTTTGTTGCTCCATTGACGAACCGAACACCTTCACATCAGACACTTCTTTGTCCGTGAGCGGGTATTAAATGGCCGAATAAAAGTTGAAAAACTCCCATCTGAGTATCAACTTGCGGATCTCATGACAATAGAGAAATATCGTCATTTAATGTGTCACACTTTTCATTCTTCAAAGTCCTAAAATCCGCACTAAACGCTTCAACAGTTCGCATTTCCATGATACATTAGTGTGAAATTCCGGCAAGGGTGCTACATTTTAAAAAATACTTTATTTTGCCAGGATTGAGAATTATTGGTATTATGGTAATAATAGTACTTATTCGGTACCAAAATGTTTTTTTTTCATAAAATTTTAACCCCAGGGTTCAAAGGACAAAATATATAAAATTCTTTATTCTTCTATTCGTTTCAGAGTGCTTCTTTCATCCGAAAACAACACCAAACTCGGTACAACAAATACATTTTAAGTCATTTTATTTTTATTGTTCCTTTTTTTAAAAAAAAAAGCAGCCATTTTGAATCCACAAGTTCAAAGGTCAGCGTGCTTCGGGTCAAATCGGCTTCATGGACCTATAGAATCTATATGCGAGATGGCATGTTTTCTGCAAGAAAAGTTACTTTTTCTCAATATTTTAAGTGTACCGTTTATACTATAACGCAAAATGCATGGTGAAATAGTGCCTCACATTTCTTGTATATTTGTATGTCAACACATACGGTGGCTGAACATTGCAATAAATTCGTGACTTCAAAAATTTGTTCAATAGGTGTTTAAAATTTTTACAACGCGGACCAGGTGACACCTAACAGCACAATATAAATTTTGGTTTGAGCTAATTGACGTATTGTTGCCTAGGTGACATCGGCCAAAATTTGTTTCACGAAGTATCATAAACTTTTCTGTTTAATATATTGAAAAATGTATTTATTCGGCATGGCACATTTTTTTTATACATATCTAGGTACTGTCAACGGGCATTATCATCTTAAGTTTAGTTTGTTGTCCAGGCTGTTTTCCTGGGCTCAGCCAGTTTTTTTCTACATAACTAGTCCCGATATTTAATTATTCACGAATATCTGCAATTTCTATAATAAGCTTTATTTTCAGCGTAACCACTCATTATTTGGCAGTGTATGGTCTTCAATGAAACGCGGTCACAGTTTCACCAGGGCAAAATCTCTGAAACTGAATTCCACTCAAATAAAGATAACTCCGGCTTCCAGTATAGATTATTTGCCTTACAATTCTATCAAAAATGCAGTTACTGAAGGAATGAATCACATCACATCCATCACTAAAAACGTGGTCCAGAACAAAGCTATCGCCACATCATTGAATGATAGATACCGAGACGAAGAAATTCCTTTGAGATCACTCACAAATTTGCATAATGGTGATCCTGAGAAGAGCATGTATACTGTTATCGAGTAAGTTGTATTAAATCATATAGTTATCAGTATTTTGAAGTATTGCTGAATATTTTTCTTAATAGTTTTTATAAGTTGCAGCTTTATGGTTTTGGTTAATATGTGTACTGACAGTATGTTGGTCATGAATCAATATTGGCATATATTTTAAAGTAAAGCCTAGCTGTTGATTCCAAAATTTTGTAGGTTGACATGTGTTCTGATAAATAAATTTCTTATGATAAATTTTGCTGATTCTTTTCGTATCCAAGTTTGAGCTCAAATCTAGAATTGGGCTGAAGCAAGATCGACTCTTCATGCGGCATTCCAAAACTCATTATCTCTCATTAGAATTTAATGGAAAATATAGTATGACAGATCAATTAAGAACTAAAAAAGCTTCTTGAACTTTGACTGAGCGACCTATTTTTTTTGAGAAAATACTTTTCATACATCGCATTATTGATAAAGCATGAAAGGAATATCCACTCAGGTGTGTGCATTTTATTTTGGAATAAAACTGGGAGAAATCTTTATTTAATAACAATTTCATGAAAAATTATTCCGAATGCTTCAAGAACACATAGCTACCTAAAGAATTCACCTTATTATAGATAACTATTTTTTTTCAAGGGAATCGGACACTATTCGATTTTCCGCGCATCCTTTTACGAATAGTTTCCGCACGGAACTGTATCTTTCCATTCTTTCTTTCCTATTTGGACTCATCAAGTTTGAGTGAGAAACTTGTAGAAAGGAATGTTCGCGTTGCGAGTCCGTTACATATGTTCTCAAAACAAGTTAATCAAATCTTTATCGTATTTATTTTATTTTTTGGTACCATTTCTCCGACGTGTTCACGCGGACACGTAATTTTCCCGATACGTAGAAAGTAAGCCCCGACAGTATTCGCCCCGACCGTAGAAACCCCGACACAAGGTCATAGTGAAACTCCGTGTTTGTACTGAACCGTATTGGAGATCATAGAAACGCCGACAAATTTGTACACGTCCCAAAACTGTACATCTTATGTTCCCATTCGGTAAACTCAGTTTAGTCCGGTATCTACATTTTGACTGGGACAGATAATATAATGTCACGGCTCTTGGGTGCGTGACAGAAATCTTGGGTTTGTTTATTCCAAAATCAAAGTCCATTTAACACAGCAATAATTTATTCCACGTAACTGTACACTCTGACACTAATTACTTCAACAATTAACTCAACAACTAAACTCTTCACAATTATCAACAATAATCACTATCTAAATCGTATCACAGTGAAACTTAAACTTAAACTACAAACTAATACCGGCCTTTATATATATCCGCAAATCTATTCGTGTAACTGGTATAACCCGCTTCCGGTACTGAAGGCAGTTTTCTCTTTGTCATCTTCGTGTATTGCCACTTGCCAGTATCCACTTTTAAGGTCTAAGGTGGATAACCATTTGGAGCCCGACAGAGTTGTTAATGTATCGTCTATCCTCGGAAGAGGAAAGCTGTCCTTCTTGGTGACGTCATTAAGCTTACGGTAGTCCACACAAAATCTAAGACTTCCATCTTTCTTGATAACCAATACTACTGGCGCAGACCATGGACTATTTGACTCTTCAATAATTCCCTCTTGACATTTTATCAATTTGGTTTTCCACTTCCTGTTGTTAAGCTACTGACATACGTCGAAGTGGTTGTCTAATTGGGTGTGCCAATCCAGTATCAATTTTGTGTTGAATTGAACTGGTCCGTCCGGTTTGATTATCCATCACAAATACGTCTGCTTCTTTCAAGATGAAATCTGTGGCTTCTTGAAGTCTATCTGGATCGAGATGTTTCCATGATTTCGCCAAAGTCTGCATTAAGGTAGGATTTTTAACTATCCGGCATTGCGGTATGCGGCAGCGGTGTGCGGTACTGCGATGTTGCGGATATCGCAACCCGCATGCTGTTGGCGGCAAATTTGTTTTTTAACTGTCAGGCAAATATTTTTGAAGTCGCGATAAAAAAATGGAATCAGCTACTCGTCTATTGCTGCAATTATCTCGTTCGATGAAGATGAAGAAGAAGAAGCTATATTTCACTGTTGTGAAAATCTCATTGTCAAACATTTCTAAAAGTCGTGCACAATAAGGAGCGTATTTTCATTGAACGTCACTTAAATGATAGTGAAACTCAATTTAAAGCATACCTAAGTGTTTCACGTGATCTGTTTTACTATATTTTGAATGAAATTGAAGGGGATATAACAACAAAGCCTCAAAACTGTAGTATTTTGCCATGTCGTGGGACGTCGCACACTACTGCGGTGTCGTCAAAAAACATTTTCGAGTTTTTCAGCGGCACACCGCAAAGACAGCTTGCGACGCCGCAGTGCCGTTGACGCATAACGCATGGTAACAAAACAGTTCGATGTTACAACATGGTACACAACTCACCGGCACGTCGCAAAGCCGCACACCGCTACCGCATACCGCAATGCCGGATAGTTAAAAATCCTACCTTTAAGGTGTCTGTATCCAATTTCGATTTTTCAAAATGTCGCTTATCTGGTAGGTCACAGTTCGAAATTTGCTTAACTGGTTCGAGAGTTCCAATGTCTCCTTCCTTTATTTTTACTGTTTTAGAAGAAACATTGGCAATTCTTATCATAATGTCTGCATTTGGTTTTACTAGTCTTTTTAACGAGAAATCTTTCTGGTTTATATCTACTAAAATTATGTGTTAGTCCAACGCAGCACCCAGGGTTTGTTTCTAATTTTCCGCAAATGATCTCCTCAATACTCACTGGGGTTGTGGCCAGGATCTTACCGGCTTGGGATTCTTCTTGTGTAGCCAGGGCAAATTCTTCATCACCAAATTTAAGGATGTTCATAGAAGGATCGAAAGAGAAACCATGTTGGCCGATCAAATCCATTCCCAAAATAAAATCATCTTCTATATCGGCGATTAATGTTCTGTGCCTGGAGGTGGTAGATTCAAAAGTAAGCTCAATCATAGTTTCTATTTGAACTGGTGTCGATTCGCCCGTGACTGTTCGTAGTGACAAGTTTCTAGTGAGCGGTTGGATTGCTCGAGACTTGACTAGTGTTCTTCTAATTAAAGAAACTTCAGCACCCGTATCAAAAGTGATGATTTAACATTCTCCATTGATTTGTCCTTCGAATTTCAATCCCCTATAATGACTGCCCAATGATTTTATATAAACAACCCTGGGAGATTCTTCATTACTAGCCAGCATCCGCCCCTCCGTACTAGTTAGTTCCTGTCTGTTGTTAGAGCTGGCGCCTCTAGATCTCGAAAAGCGTTGGAAACGATCCCTAGATGGAGAGGACATCCTTTACAATTCCATTGCATATCTTCAAGCTTATGACACCGATAACATTCTACTCGGTTTCTCGGTGTTGGTGTTTGTCTGGAGTCGTCTCCTGTTTTTCTTCCTTCTAGTAATAGTTGCTCCATTTTCTCCATGAATTTACTCATAACATTCTTGAGGCTACTATCTTCTTTTGACGATTGTTTATCCTCCTGGATCTTCAATGGAGACTGCTCGTATTCTGGGTCGTGAGGTACCAAAGATAGCTTCCAGTTCTAATGCTCGAACAAGGGCTTCGCTACTTTTTCTGAACTAAGACATTCTCAAGTTTTCCTGGATCTTGGAATCTCTGAGACCATCAATGAACGCAGACACTGCCACCCATTCTTGCATGTCTTCTCCAGCTGCAGGGAATGGCAAACTCACTAGCCTTTTAACTTCCGATTCGAATTCTTGTAACCTCTCGCTGGGTTTTTGAATTCTTGATTTAGCTTGAGTTCTAAATACTTCTTTTCTGTAATGGTCTCCGAAACACAGTTCTAATGTCTGACTTCGATGCTGGTAATTCTGTTGGTAGATTGAACGAATTGACCGAAGAAAATCTAAGGCAGGTCCTCGTAGCGCCACTATCAGCCTCTTCTTGTTGTCGCCTATCTTCTTCATCTTATTTTCCTTTTTGTCGCCTGGCTTCTTCGTCTTGTTTTTCTTGTTGTCGTCTGGCCTCTTCTTTCTTGTTGTCGTCTAGATTCTTCTTCTTGTTTCTCTTTTTGTCGCCTGGCTTCTTCGTCTTGTTTTTCTTGTTGTCGTTTATTCTCTTGAAGTTCCAACATTTTGTGCAGAAGTTCTTCAACTTTTTGTTCTTCCATTTTTGCTTGTTGTCTCGTATTACAGGATGTTCTGGAATTTACCTCGAACTCCCTTCAAATATCTTCCCTGGTCTTTGATTGAAGTTCCAAACACGTCGATAAAGTCACGAATTGAATAACATGCTTTATTCTCGAAAAGAATGTTCTGGAATTTTCTTGAAATATCCTTTCTGAATGTCGATTGATACAGCAACCACGTCGACGAAGTCATAAATTCAATATCTCCCTTGGCTACAAATAGAATGTTCTAGAATTTTCCCGAAACTCCTCGAAATTCTTTTTCTGAATGACGATTGATGTATGGAATACGTCGGCGAAGTCAGAAATTCGATATCTCCCTTGGTTTCCAAATAGAATTTTCTAGAACTGACTCGAAAATCCACTACTATCACAGTCAAAATCGGGTACACAGTCACTTCCGGGGTAATTTACACGATCGGTTTAGTCTCTTTTGGTGATTGTCACTGCTGACTAACTGTCCCAGTGACTATAGTGTTCACACTTAACACTAGTGTCCGCGCACTATTCTGCAATCGGATCTCATTTTGCAGTCCTCACTGTCCTGTCCTCGAACTATGTCTCACTTCTGACACCAATGTCACGGCTCTTGGGTGCGTGACAGAAATCTTGGGTTCGCTTATTCCAAAATCAAAGTCCAATTAACACAGCAATAATTTATTCCACGTAACTATACACTCTGACACTAATTACTTCAACAATTAACTCAACAACTAAACTCTTTACAACTCTCAACAATAATCACTATCTAAATCGTATCACAGTCAAACCCTAACTTAAATTACAAATTGTCTTCTTTAGATAGCGGGTAAAGCAGTCAAACAATAACAATTCTTTATTACTAACCAAGCTTTCGATACTTTTTTGTATCTTGGTTAGTAATAAAGAATTATTTTAGAAAAATAAACTTGTTTGGCTGCTTTACCCGCTATCTAAAGAAGAAAACGTAAAAAATCCAGCCGTTATCCCCAATCCTTTAAATTACAAACTAATATCGGCCTTTATATATCCGCAAATCTATTTGTGTAAAATCGAGAAGAAACGCGATAACCTTCCTTCTTGACGGCACTACAAAAATCTAGAACCTAGAACCTAGGTTGTTGGATTCTCGACACACTGGCGGATGCCGTTACAATAATAATAATATTTAAACAAAAGTTATTTTTCTATTGATATACCTATTAAAAATATAATACATATCATGCACATCGATATTCGAATTAATAAAACACCAATTGATTATCTATATCTATATCTTTCTCTTTTTTTCTCCTAGTCTAAATATGTCAACGTACCAGTTTATCAAAACAGCCTCAAAATATGTCCTGATAACTCTCAAAAATAAGATTGGTTAATAAAATGATAGATAAGGTCGGTTTTGAATATTGCACAGAATGCAGTAGTTAGAATTTTCAATAACTCTTTATTACACAAGTTTGTGATAGCAGTAAACGGTCTGAAAATGCCGAGGAAAATAACGATTAAATTATTATTGCATTTATTGTTATGACTGTCGGGATTCCTAAGTCGGGGTATAAATACTGTCGGGACAATTACGAACTACCGTACCAGAAATTAGAAAATCTGTCCCCGAAAATTTGAATTTTATTTTAACTTTTATTGCCATTTTGTCATTTTCTGCTATACTTACACACAGCAAACTTAGTATCTGCGTTCTGGTTTAAAATCATTATTTTGCCCCTCACGTTTCGAACGGTTGCTTTTAGCACCCAATCTTCCCACAAACTTGAAAACTAGCCACAGGAGAAAATATTTGAACTTGTCTGGCACAGAGCACTTATAGCCACACTTAACGACAAGTTGATGCGAGCACTCTCGTTCCAATCTGTGATATATTTCTCCTTTATTACTTTCTCTTCATTCGCGAGTTTTCTGGCAGTTTCTCTTATGTTTCGCCCGGGCCATATCCCTTTACTAAGCCAAACCACCACAAACATTTGGAAACAATATACTTCGCAGGTTAACTTGGTGCTTCTTACTACATACGGATTTGGTCCGCAACACAAAACTACACACAGGACCTCCAAGTGACGAGTTTCCTTACCTCCCCAACCAACCACCCCAATTTAACAGAACAAACTTTGTTGCAGGAACCTATAAACCCAGAATAAATCATCTACAAATTTTCAGAAATCTCTTTTAATTTTTTTTTTTCTATCTCAATCAACGCCTACCCATTTTCTTATTTGACCTAAATTATAGGTTGGAAAGAAATAATTACATCATTCCGCCCTAATTTTCAATAACTCGTCTTGTCCATTTTCAAGTTCAATTCTTCCAATTTGGAGTAAGCATAGGAATTAAAAATGTTTTTCACCAGTTTTTGTTCCTAATTCATAGGAGCCATTATGGATATTTTTCAATGGAAAAATACGCAAGTTATTTATTTATATTTTAATTTTCAGTAAAAGCGGTTTTCTACACCCTGGCTACAAGGGTAAGCGAAAACATCAGGGTGTGATGTTGTGTGCTATTTTTTGAAAATTTTGGTTTGACGATAACAAAAGTATGATTTTATTTTTTTTCCTTAATTTTATGCTAACTGGTTATGTTATAATAATGTGTATTTTGTCTAGTTCGCTACATAATTTTGAGCTCATATTTTCTAAATACTTGCCGTAAATGTAATAAAGGGCCGGGATGATGATGTAATATTGATTAGTACAGAAAAGGAATGCAGCGGTATTTTGACGTCAGCAAAACTCTAATGGAGTATTACTTTTTTGTCTGACTTGAATTATCAAACATTTGCTGTGGAATTACTTTTAGAAATGGACGTTTACGAACTGAAATTTAATTATACTGTGGTTAGATCGATTCCTCACTATATTAAATACTTATTTGCCATTATCATATTTGATAAATTTGAGCTCAAAATGTGTATAAAGAACGTTTGCTTTGTGCAGTCTTCAGGGCGATAGTCAAGAGCTAATGCCGCCAACGCCGCCCCCTCGAAGGGTGTCTCCTTTTGGGGAGTTCCATCAACAGTCACCTAGTACACCCAGCGGCGGCTTTACTCGTATTGCAAGTGGCCTCAAGCTCGCCCAAGCACAAGCCATGGCAGTGGCTGGGTTTCTACCTGCCCAGCCTAGATGGCTTGTTGAACGTGAACATGGAACAAGCTCAGGTCTACACCCTTACCAAGCGATGGATTTCCAGTCAACAACGGACGAAAGGCATGCGCGTTGCTGCCTTCTTAACCACAGAGCGTCTTTTCACGGCCGAGGTTAGCCGATCCATGATTCTCCCATTCTCCACTACCCAAAACAAATATGATACTCAAAAAAGTCGCTGTGCATGCGCCGAAGTAGTGCATCGCTTATTTTTTACGCATATGTGTTGTTTTTGTTTTAGTTTGCCGTATGTTATGAGTAAAAATTCTACTTAGAAATAATATTTTATGTTTGAAAATTAGATAGTTGTTTTTTTTTTTTTTAAATAAATTGGATTTGAACTGTCTGAATTAAAAGCTACTACTCGAAATTTTAAAACACCGATTGCTACTCTTTTTTGCATAACGTTTTAATTTTCCAATAATCTTTTAATATCAATTTAACAAATAAATGTTCACACCAATTAACTCGTGGTAATTGAATAAAAGAAGAAAAAATTAATTGAGGCACATTAATTTAGGCCTGTGATATTATTGTTATGCATCTTACCTACTAGTAGAGTCATCGGTTATCTGTGCTCGAATAAAAACATCTCTAGTAGGTACGTATTATTAACCACAAGATTCACCCAGAATTACTTATATCGATATTAAATTGCTTTTCTGTTAAAAATTGTTTGAATGAAAAAACAAAAAACGTCAAGAAAAATATACAGAAAATCATCATCATCGTCATCACAAGCGATTTCTGATGGCTATATAAACCAATTCTGAGGCCGCACACTATGCCGCAGTCTTTACACAAAAAGCCTCCGGCAGCATTGTCTCTTTCTCTTTTCTCTTGCGATCCCTCTTTTCGGTTTCTTGTCTCCGTCATTGTTTTTCAAAAGTTTGTGGTTCGTCGTGGGTTACTCGACGCCATAAGGGCCTATCATTTGCTGTCGTCTCCCGGTTGTTGGTATCGATGCAGCACTTTGCCATATTTTCCTCAAGAGCATCTTTGTAGCGTTCTCGTTGACCTTTATTTCGTTCTCCCTGTTCCCTTAGTTGATTGTAGAGAATCTGCGTTGAAGACGTGTTCCGGGCATGCGGACGAGGTGACCTGTCCAGCGAAGTTGGTGGTTAATGATGAGGGTTTCCATGCTAATTGTTTTGGCCTCCTCTAAAACACTAATTTTGCCATTCAATCCGTAGGATCCTTCTTAGACATCGCTGGTGGTATTTTTCTAGGCTTTTTATTTGCCTTCTGTAAGTGGTCCATGTTTCGCAACCATATGTAAGTGTTCGTATTATAACTGGATTGTAGACGCGAACTTTGGTCTCAGCGCTGACGTCGTGATTGTTGAAGACTCTCTCTGAAGTCGCCCCAACGCTGCGCTAGCACACTTCTAGCGATGTTGGATTTCGGCGTTGCAGTGGGTTGCATTAGCTGCCAGATGGTTCCCAAGGTACGGGTAGTGTTCTACGTTCGCAAGGAGTGGTCATTTATAGTTATATTGTAGAATCTACGTCTTGTTGAAGTTGACCTCTAGGCCGATTCTCATGTATGTCTAGTTGAATGCATTGATAATTGCCTGAAGATTTTCCTCTGAATTGGCCATCACGACGTTATCATATGCATATTGAAGTTCAATTATCGTCGTCGTCGATACTTTCGTCTTGGCTCGGAATCTGTTTAGGTTGAATAAGCCGCCATCAAGTCTGTAGAGGATTTCCACTTTTGAAGGCAGTTTACCTTTGACAAGGTGAGGTATGGATCCTATAAATAGATACAAGAGATTGGAAACAATAACACAGCCCTGTTTAACGCCTGTAGTTATTTGGAAAGATTCTCCTTTCCTATCGTTGCTTAGGACCGTGGCATTCATATTATCAGGCAGCAGGCGGAGTATCTGGATGTACTTTTGCGGACACCCAGCCTTTGCCAATATCTTCCAAAGAGCTTCTCTGTTGACCGAATCAAATGCTTCCATTTCACTAAATCTATGAAGGCCATGCATAGAGGGCGATTTTGTTCCCTGTATTTCTCTTGCATTTGTCTTGCACTGAAAATCATGTCAGCTGTACCGCGGTTGGGTCTGAAGCCACACTGTGTATCTGGGAAGTTTTCTTTGGCAGTTAGGATTAGACGATTTGATAATACTCTAGAAAGTTTTTTTCCCGCAACAGAAAGTAAAGATATTCCTCTGTAATTTCCCCATTGAGCCTTGTCTCCCTGTTTAACAAGGGCAACTTTGGAGGCATCCCTAAGTTCGGCAGGTATGGTCTCAGAAATCCATGTTTTACTTATTAGGATGTGATTGGGCACTTAGTGTGGGGCCTCCTCGTTTAAAGAATCCAGCAGGAATACCGTCAGTACCAGCTGACTTATTGTTCTTTAGTTGTCTGATTGCATTTTCAACCTCCTAGGAATCTGGCTCAGTTCTTGTTGTATTGGTTTCTGTGGAATCTCGTTAAAGATGTCATCATTAATTCGTGATTTTCTGTTGGGTAGTTCCTGAAAGTTGGGTAGTTCCTCCCAATGATAAGTAATGGATGGATGAACTGTCTTTGAGCAGTCATGTGCCATCTTTGGATATAGAAAATATAATGTAGATATCACTTATTATTTTCTTTATTGGAAAAATAATAATTATCTATATAAAAAACATTAATCATTAACATAATTTTAAAAAAACAACTGAAATCTGGGAAAACTATAGGATGCAAGGAATTGTCATTCAAATACAATGATTGAGCATAAGGAAAATACAAAAGGAGACCTAAAGACGGTGTTGCGAGGGAACAATTATGTGAGCTCCAGCACATGGTCCACAAAAAATCCTAACAAAAAATCACTTGAACGGTATAAAAAGTCTTCTAAAAAACCAAACGGTGAGTCCTGTATCAACCGAAAAGAAAGGCGATACCTATAGTCCTAGCAGTTCACGACAATTTTCATCGAAAAACGGCAAATTGTGGTACAAGCATGAAATGTGGTATAACTGTTTTTAGACCATTTTAAGTGATTTGATCTGATGTACACCGACTTTCATCAATTGGGACACCCCCCACCCAAAAATGTCGGGAAATTCAGACAGAACATCAGTTATGAAATTGTTAGATTTTTCAATATTTAATATGATTTTTACTTTGTTCAAGGTCCTGAGATATCCAAAATATATATACAGCGTGGGCAAAAAGAGCAGAACACCTACAGGGGTTTGAAAACTGACTTTTTTTTTTGCTGCGCATTTTTTTTTGAGAAAAAAAATATACAGGGTGTCTCAAAAGTGGTGTTACTTGTATCAACTATGTTATTTTAATTGGCAACCCTTGGTCCGGATTCCGAACCCACGATTCGATATATCGTCTATCATATTTATATAGACGATACTTTCGAATCGTGGGTTCGGTATCCGGGCCCTGTATATTATTGCATTTTTGGATTCTACGGAAAATTTTTAACATATTTCGTGTATAATATCCTACCTATCTTCAACTATTTCGGAATTATTGACAGTTGAAAATTTACTTTTTTTGATTTGAATAATTTTGGAGCCAAACCGATCATATATTCTCATTTTAGTTTTCCATAAACTCATCATTTGACACCAAATTTGAATTTAATTCATGATCAAAAATTCTGGTCAAACCAAATCGTGTCAAATGATAGTTTATGGGAAACTAAGACAAGAATGTATGATCAGTTTTGCTCTAAAATTAACCCTTTAGGTTTTACAGCCTGTCAAAGTTGCAAAAAAGTAAATTTTCAACTGTCAATATTACCGAAACAGTTGAAAATAGGTAGGTATAGGACATTATACATATTTCCATAACTTTTCGTAGAATTCAAAAATGCAATATTATACAGGGTTGCTCTTTGAAATAACAAAGTTGATGCAGGTAACTCCATTCTTGAGACACTCCGCATATTTTTTTTTTTTTTTTTTTTCAAAAAATATCCTGATTAAAAATAAAATTGACGGGTCCGAGCGATTTTTCGAAAAACAAATAGTTTTGAAATCCCTGTAGGTGTTGCACTCTTTTTGCCCACGCTGTATATAGGTATGTATATAGCAGCTCATAAAGTTGCTGGAAGTCTCGGGCAAAATAAGTCCATTGCTTTGCGTGAATTTCATTCTTTTACTGGTTGCGACACGGTGTCATTTTTTGGATCTAGGGGCAAATGCAAGGGCAAGGCATGGGCTGTTTGGAAAGATGATGAAACTACTGACGTATTTAAAGTTTTAGCTGAATGTCGTAAGGTATCGAGAATTGAAGGAATTATGAGTACACTAGAAAAAAACACGATAAATGTATGATAACAGCAGCGATAAATGTATAGCGTGAATGAGTTACGCAAGGAGCTCTTTTGCTGTGGTCATCGGGCAATAAGCTCTATTACGACTACAGCGGGAACTCCCATAGAGCACTCAAGAAGAGCAGCCTATCAGGCTGGAAAAATCTGGGGACAAGCCACTCAATATGACCCAAGATATTTCTGGCCCAAAAGGCTGGAGTTGGACATAGTACAGGGTGTCCCGAATTAGGATGCACTAACAGGGATCTCTGTAACCATAAGAGATACAGGTTTGGTTAAGTTTAAAAAAAGTTGCGCGTTACGCTCAGTGGCGTCATGTTTTGATATTTCGGATATTCCGAATGATTGCGAAGATATCCATAGAAAACCGAATTTTGCAGAAATCGTTTTTATTTTTGTCTGACTTTATTTGAAATGATGTCGCAAAATAAACTTCACATTCTCATTGCCACTTTTCCTCCACTACATGGTAATGTTACCTATTAATCCAATCGGACGTTTCGTTTGTTTGCGATCATCATCAATTTTGTTTTTAATGGTCAATTTTTTTTATTTTATGGCCAATTAATTCTAATTTTTTATTATAAATCATTTCATTTAAGACATATCAAGCTCATAATTTCAGGAATATAAATTCCACTTGTGGTCCCATTACCGGACTTCCACGATCTCCAGACATTACACCGATGGATTTTGAAAAGTCAGTTAACTTCATCCTGAAGGAATCCTCAAAAGACAAAAAACCCATCGGTATAATGTCTGGAGATCGCGGGCCTCCGCGAATTATAATAGGACCACTAGTGACGGATAATATTATTGGAATTATGAGCTTGATATGTCGTTTGATTTAGAACAAAAAGTTTATTAGGCATAAAATAAGAAAAATTCGATCCATTGGAAAAACAAACTTGATGATGATCGCGAAAAAACGAAACGTCTGATCAAAAATCTAATAACATTATTATGTAGTGGAGAAAAAGTGGCAATGAAAATATGAAGTTTATTTTGCGATATCATTTCAAGTAAAGTCAGAAAAAAATAACGATTTCGGCAAAATTCGGTTTTTCGTGAATATCTTCGGAATATCCGAAATATCAAAACATGACGCCACAGCTCAGTAATGCGCAACTTTTTCCAAATTTAACCAACCCTCAACCTTGTATCTCTTATGGTAACTGAGATCCTTGTAGAGTGCATCCTTATCCGGGTTACCCTGTATATGGTTGAAAGATGGCAACCAAAATGGAGCACATTACCCGAAATTTGGAGTGACCTCAAGGATTTGCAAAAGCGTGTGCTGTCGCAAAGCGCAGCTACCTTGCACACCTGCTTGCTATTTGTGAATAATCTTATTTAAATTCTGTCAAAAACAATGATTATTTTCAAATATTAGTCTTGCAGCATTTTATCTGCCAAAAATCAATTTCTTGAAAAAGTTTTGCTATAAAACGACATATCACACGCCCTAGAGGAGATTTACATACAAAAATGTAAAAAAATGGGCTGCCATTTTGAAGAAAACCCCTTACAGAGGAGCAGTATTCCATTAAATGTTTTAAAATAATATTTAAGATGTCTCGGGACCTTAAACAAAGTAAAAATCATATTTAATAATAAAAAATCTGACAATTTGATAACTGCCGTTCTGAATTTTCCCGCCATTTTGGGGTGGGGGGTGTCCCAATTGATGAAAGTACAGCGGGTCAAATCACTTAAAATGGCTTAAAAAATAACTATGCCAAATTTCATGCTTGTACCATAATTTGCCGTTTTTTTTGATAGGCTGGCGGGAAAAATCTTCATGCAAAATATAACTTTAAGCCATTAAAATTTTCGGAAATGGACGGCATTTTTCCCACATAGCTGCAAAGGGGTTTTAAAACCCTAAAGGAACACCTTCAGAAACCTCTGGGCTGTGTGTCTGGAGATAGGCTGGCGTAATATTAATAGCCAAGGCCTCAAGGCCGGATGTCGGCCAGAAGATGAAGCAAAATCTCATCGACCCATCTCTTCAAAATGGTACTGCAATAATTTTATTTGTACCCCATACCTATAACTGAAAATTCGGGAGAACAATTTTAAATCTTTTTTGTGTAAAATTTTCTATGCCTGAAGTTACTGTTTCTGAGATATTTGGTGTCAATTGCAAGAGCAAATTTGCGACAGCAAATTACCAAATATCTCAAAAAGTAAAGTTAAGGGAAGTTTTCACAAGAAATATTTAAAAATGTTCGTAGAATATGAATATTTAGTCATTGAAACTATTCCCGTAGCATAACCTCAAAATTAAATCGACCGAACACTTTCAATTGAAACGGAAGTGAAATTTGTGTGGTACGACAGTTTGAACCTAACTTTAATTGTTTCCTGTCAAAACTAAAGATGGGTTTACCCAACTCTTAATGGAAAATGCACAATTTTAATTCATAATTGATAATGTGTAATTCATATTGCGTAATGCATAAGAGAAGAGAAGTGTTTCTACAACGCATAATTTTTGTGCATTAAGAATTGACAAGACAGCTGAGTTTGACACAAAAACCCCATTTGTATTATTGAGAACGTAAAAGTTCAATTTCAAATCAAAAACTATCGAAAACAACAGGAAAAAAGATTTTGAGGTTATAAAGCAAAACCAAAACAAAAACAAAGTTTAAAATAATCAATTATCGTACGCTTGTGCTCTAGCGTTTTCTGCTTAATGCATAATGGATAATTCGTAAAAGTTAAAAGTTGGTCAGTCAACTTTATGAATTACGCATTATACATTATTCTGTAAAAAATCGAAAAATCCTGCTAAGAATCTCAAACCATGATAATGGGCTCTTTCACTAAAATTTAAATATGTAATTTAAGTATGAAATCCTAAAGGAGGGACTATTTTAGGTATATATACCAAAAAAAATTATCTACAACGTTAAAGAAGTTTTTTACAAACACTTCAAAACTGGCCAAATTCAAAATGATTAAAACGCGCCAAGTGATGACGCCATCTAAATAATTTCCATTTGACCCAAGTTTGGGTGTAGCGAACAGCTGACCGCCTCGGATGTGTTATACCGTCTAGTAAAAGGTTCGAATGCACTGTTGTCGGTTGTGACTAAATATAGTGCGACGTAGCATAAGCATAATTAAAAAAAAAACATGTTATTTAATCTCCAATCCATAACTAATAATTTAACTATTTTCCATGGCATTTTGCCAACATCTTAGAATTAAATCTATTACAAATTTTCAATGTTGACAATTAGTGGCGACACGGTCGAAATGCAAGCTGTTGACATCATACGGATAAATTAAGGCTTTTTATTTGGAGGTATTTCTTTTTTTTTTTCTATTTTTTCAAGAAAGACTATGAATTTTTCAAAAGTAAAAGTACAGAAAATTCTGTTTTTAGTTGCTTTATCCAATTACGCCAATTTCAAAAATAATTGAAAGGGCCCATTTGCATTTCTCGATTCCAATTTTTTTTTTTTTGCTTTCGAAAAAACGACCAACATTCAAACCAAATCCTTAGCCTTATGGTGGGTTTATAAAAAAAAAATAACACTTAAACTAATTTAAGAAAATTAACTTACAACTAAGAATTTCAACGTGCGCTTATGTATTCTTAATTCTTAGTTGATAAGTCTTAATTTTTTTTTATGAACCGCTATATTACATATCATAACCTCAACTATTTAAGTTAAATGTTAATTCTTAGTTTAGGTTTTATTTTTTTTTATAAACCCGCCATTAGTTGACAGTCCTGTTAAATGAATGCATGTCCGCAATTTACGGAAATCAAAATCAAATACAATAATCCACAAACTACACGAAACATAAATAGGTCCTATGTCTGCCCTAAAGCAGCCCTTGCCGAAAGCAAAAAGTTATCTTCAAGTGACAATAGAAAATGTTGGGTGAATTATTCACGTTTTGTTGCTGCAAGCTACTTTGAAAGTATTGTACCTATCAATAACTTTTCCAGTGGTTTAGTAGGTATTTATATCTCTACTTCGTGAAAGAGTGTAGGTTGATCTTTGTGGATAAGTATATTGATTGAGTGCTTATGTTTTCTGCATGGTCTCCTTCGGTAAAGGTCTGCAAAATATTGCTTGTCTTTATTTTATTTTTTTGAGAAAACGTTTCCAGCGTTTCAAAATTCACCAGTTACCTAATTTTTTAAGCCCTAAATCTTCTCAAACCTAATGCCCAACTTCCTAAAAGCAACTTAATATATTTCGCAACTAATGATTTTCGCTTAACCCAATGATAATAATGATTATGTCAATTAAACAAAGTGTGTGATATGTAGTTGGTAAATCCTATTTCCGAAATATAAAACGTGGTGAAAATAAAACGATCGATTTTTAAAAGTTCGATGTACTACCTACCTATCTATTTCACCACCACCTTTCAACCTAGGATTTTTTTTATTAAATTAGAAAATAAAGAGCTTTTTGACTTCCAAAAACTCCCTTCTCTGTTTACATTTCTATGCCGGTTTCTTTGCCCTTTCATCCCATTCATGGATCAATACGAGATGCTCACAATAACATCATAAAACCGTCCAGGGATATTTTATCCAGGGAGCCAAAACTAGATGATGTCTCAAATTATAAAATTGAAATTTGTTTCCAGTGAAACACTTATTCGAAATTATAGCTATATTTTTAAATAAGGGACAATTATAGCTATCCTTATAAATAAAAAATACAGAGATTTTCATAATGCTTGTTATTATATTGTATACATTTATTCACTTCAGAAACTCTTCTCTGAATTTTTGTTTTGATTGGTTTATATTGTTAGAATATTTAAGTAAACCACAGAAGAAAAAATATCGATAATTAATTGGCTTCATGCGACATTTTAATTTTATTATATTAGCCCCTTCCTTCTTGGCTTACTGTTTCGTCAAGCCATTCGATAGATCTATGAAAGTTAAATAATCAGATATTGTCTTATAACGTGATAACTTTGAAGTAAATAAAATGTCTGCACGATCCATCTAAAGTTGATTCATGTCTCTCTAGGCTTGGCATGCCCTTCGAAGTGATCATTGAAAATCCCTGTAAATACTTATTTAGGCTTTCGAATATAATTTGAATTTAAAAAAAATTTCATAGCTGGTGATAAGACTACAATTTAATAATAATTGAAATTGCTCAGTATGACTTTGGTATAACCAACTATTGCAATAGACAAGTTCTACTGATGCAGAACTGAACCGGACGATTTTTATGGATATAGCTTCTACTGCTGCCTTTGCATGCAATGGATATTTATAGATTTGGAAATAGAATAAAAGAGACTTTACCCTTTTTTCTAACAATTATATTCACATTCTAAATTTTAAAAGTTTAAGTAGGTACCTCTTCTCCAAATCTATCGATATTTACGATGACAGAAAATCAAATGATTAATTATTACCTAATGAAATAAATATTTACTCAGTTCCAGTATCACCTGGTGAGCCTAACGGTCATGTGGCCAACGAAAGGCTAACTCACTCACTGCCAGGAAGTCCAGCTGAAAGAAGACCTCCGTCCTTCGAAGTCGTTGGTTCAGCTGAAAGTCTTGTTGGTCGGATATTGGTTGAGCAAGGTTTAGGTAAGATGGGGGGTTTAATAGCAGAGTGGGCCAATGTAAGTTCATCATTTATTGTCAAGGCATCAAATTTCCTAATTCATTCAATTCAGTGAATCCGTGCATTGGTTTGGGAGAAAATGCCCTTTGAAGAAAGTAATCCGACAAAATCCAATGTCATATTTTTGCACAAAGGCCATATTTTGTAAAGCCTTTGATAATTTCACCCTTCACAATCTTCAAACAAGGTGAATTATAAAATTAGTTTTATTGTTAAGGTTTAAAGTCAGGCCTATAGTTTATTACAGCAACGCGAGATGCCAATGCTATCGCCCCTATAGTGTGCCCTAACTTGACTGTCAAAAAAATATAGAAATCTTCATTTGGTTAAATTGTGTGATAGAACGTTTTTTCTTTTTTTGTCGGAAATTCGAAGTATTATTCTGTTTTACATAAACAGGGTTGTAGTTTCGACCAACGCAAATAATTTTGAACGTTCATCCGTCGGATTTTTTTCTAAACAGTGTAGCTACGGGCGTATTTCCAACTATTTTTGTAGTAGCGAGAAAACTACAAGTTCAAAAAATTTGAAAAAAATATATGTCGCGTAGAATTGCAATAGTAGTTCGTAATAAAAATAATGGGAAACTTCATCTATTCGTTTTGAAATAAATGGTGAAAAACTACTTTTTTTTCAGTTTTTGCGATATAACTCAAAAATGGCGAGTCAAATTTGCTTAAAAAAATGATTAAAGTATATCGATAACCATAAAACATATATTTTATTTGGAATTTTTGAACACAAGGTTCAGAAAATAGGGGTTGACTTTAAACCTTAATTTAGGACCGTAATGCTGAAGGTGCTAATTCAGATATTTACCTTACCCTATATGGTTTATTGAAATATTCAAAGTGGTGATCTTCTGCTTACATGTAGTAGTAAGTCTACAGGTTTCAGAAAATGTAAAGCAATTCTGGATTAAGGGAGCTCTCCCAACAGGGAGACAGGACCTAAAGTGGGCAGTGTCCCATTTATCACCTGACCGATTAGGCTTGCTTTTGGTTAGCTGACACCCAACTAACCAACATGTAATTGCCGCCAATATTGCGGGCAGGACACGCGTCGTTGAAATTATTGTAATTTTCACTTGTAGAAGTAAAAATTTGTGTTGTGTCCTATATTCACAAGTATACAAAAGTTTTTTGGTGATCTTTCGTGGTCGAGGGTAAGTGATTTTTATGTACATTACAACAGTGGGATTATTTTGTTTGGATTACAAAATGTCCGCCAAGAACATATTCTCAACAGCAAGACAACCAACAGCAGTGAGACGCTGTCTCACTGTTGGGCACTGTCTCAATGTTGGGAAAATATGATAATTCATATTGAGAATTTTTGCAGCTTAAGTAAGGAACCAAAAAAAAAATTGGGAATTGCGCAGAGGAAACAATGAAAGAAGCAGTAATCTGGTTAAAGAAGGCCGAAGTTTGAGAAAAGTAGCTGCTTTAATAGATATACCATCTCAGACATTGGCTAGATATGTAAAGAAAGCCAGAGAAATTTGACGATATTACTCAAATACGGATGCGACCAAACTACAGTATTATTTAAAGTATCAACCTCTACACAAGAAGATTCCCTAGAAAGCTATATCACTGCTCACGCATGTTTTATGGTTTGTCTGTTACCGGTTGTAAAATCTTGTGTATGAAATGGCAAAGAAGAAGAATCTACAATTTGGATGGAAGTGCGACTATGACGGTTCAAAAATCACCAAAGGTTGGTAGCTGCTGAGAAAAGGAATAAAGCAAGTTAGCAGGGTAACAAGTGGGGAGAGAGGTACATTGGTTACCACTTGTTTCATCATTAGTGCCACTGCCCAATACCTACCATCAGCAATGATATTCCCTAAAGTGCATCTTAGGAGCATATCATTATGCTACGAGGCTCTCCATCAGGTACATTGAGGCTTGCGGCTCCAAGTGGGTGGATGAATGCTGATCTTTTTTTAGAAGTAATAACGCATTTAATAAAATATTCTAACAGCTCTAAAGAAAATCCATCGCTTTCAATCAATGACAATCATGGAATCATGTGAGTCATCTCAGTATTGGTGTACCTACTTAATTTGGCCAAAGATAACAGAGTAACAATTTTAACAATTCCCCCTTATTCAACAAACAAGATGCAACCAATGGATGTGGAGGCGTGCAAAGCATTCTCAAGATGATATAATGCATGTCTAAATACCTGGTTGATGCAACATCCCGCTAACCTTTGAACCATATATGAGGTAACTGTGCGTCGCACTCACACCGAGCAATATTATAAATGCATTCAGGAAGTGTGGTATCCATCCATACGATGCAGATGCATTCAAAGATACCGGGTGCCCACGAGATCACTTTCCGGCTGCCATTTTTTTATTTGTCTATCGATATCAACGAAACTTGGTAGGGTTGATATTCTAACCAAACGCTATTTGCATGCATGTATGACAAGTTTTCCTGACTTCCGGTTTCAACAGAAATGACCGCTGATTTTTGAATGACACACCCTGTATATTTTTTGTTTTTCGGATTCTATAGATCGTTTCACATCTTAATGCACCACTGTTGAATCGATTTTTGTCCGAATTTTGTTTTTTAATTAAATTTTAATTTTTTTAACTAGAGTGCCATGATCATTCGAAAATGACTCCACATACTTTACTTTGTTTAGAAAAATATAAAATCAATTTTATCTTTGTAAACTTTTTTGATAGAGGGCTGTAAACTTCATTATTTCAGTATTTTTGCCCTAGCTCAAAAACTAGAATAGAAACATATCACTTTCATAACATTACTAAATGCAGTATTTTAAAGCGAATCCAACGATATAATACACTACAACATTTTTCTTAATTTTCGTTCAAATATTTTTGTAGGTAATTTTTTTTTTTATACTTAAAATTTGATTTGAAAACGAAATTTGGACAAAACTCGATTTAAAAGTGGTACATTAGGACGTTAAACGATCTGTAGAATCCGAAAAACAAAAAATATATAGGGTGTGCCATTTGAAAATCAAAACCGGAAGTCAGGAAAACTTGTCAAACATGCATAAAAATGGCGTTTCCTTAGAATATCAAGCCTAGCAAGTTTCGTTGATATCGATGAACAAATAAAAAAATGGCAGCCGGAAAGTAATCTCGTGGGCACCCGGTATAGACTTTTAACCAAGCGCTGTTACCGATCGCAATTTGTAAGTCAAAAAAATTGTATCGTTCTATCAAGTACATCAACATTACCAAAGACCATATCCGTGAAAGATGATATTCAACAAAGTATATTGGTTACAAAAAATTAAGCCACTTAACAGGATAATGCCAATATTGAAAATAGCGATCAACACAGCACAGCATAAGCCCACAGGAGTTTAGGAGTTTCCAAAAGCAGGAAAACGCAAGACTAAAAATACGAGACGAAAGGGCGAAAGTATTATAGCTACTGACGCTCCCGAAAAATATGCCATAGAAGAACGAAGCATTATGAAGAAAAGAAAAAAAGTGAAAAGAATAAAATTGAAGTGAAGAAACAAATATTTGAGAATATAGTTCTCAAAGCTCATAATAGGAACTCGAACTTGATTCGTCCTCGTGGGTCCGTCCCTCGGTCTGTCACTATACAACCCACAACGACCCAGTTGCATTGGAGGAGCTTCGTAGAAAACCCATACAAAATTATTTTTTGCTCGTGAAACTTGTTGAAAAATCAGATAAAAAGAAGGTGTATTACTCGGTGTATTATATCGGAAAAGTCTTCAAGACAAATGAGCCTGAAGACTATGAAATATAGTATCTTAGAAACATGGCCGGATTAAGCTTTCATGGGGCCCGGGGCTAATGAAGTTTTAGGGGGCCCTTCATAAATTAAGTGCAAAAAAATATACAGGGTGTCCCACGACGTTTTTCCTAGGTAATATCTTCGGAACGCATCATCCAATATAATTGAAATTTTGAGGATGTGGGTAACTTTTTATGCCGCTTCGTCATCCAATTTCATTACTCTCGCTTCCATTTCGGTCAAGTGACGTCAACTTTCAAATCTTAAATGTAACTCATGGTATATTATGGCATTTTACGCTAGAAAATTAAATTACAAAATCGTCAATGCTATGTTTGTTAAAGAAAATAATAAAAAATTATACAGTGGAACATACGATGAAGCGTTCCGAAATTATCATTTAGGAAAAACCGCGTGGGATACCCTGTATTTAAAAAAAACTACATTCCTGATATAACAGTCTGACACTGCTATACCTATTATCTATTCACAATCTGCTTCACGCACTAGTGCGTAAAGTAGTTCACTTCACACACTAGCGCGTAAAGTAATGTCAATGGCAGATGTCGTCCTGTCAAATTACTATTTTTCTGGTAAATTACTTCACGCACGCGTAAAGAATTTATCTAAATTTATTTTTTTACACAAATTTGATTGGTAGTAGAAAAATTTTTGTATGCAATACGTGCGTAAAGCACCTTTTTTCACTCATGTGATTGTCGCACTCGCCTAAATTCACATTCGTGAAAAAGGGTTCACTTAACACAGTTGTTGCATAAATAACTATTTTTAGTAGGTAACTTAAGTTTACCTAACAAATTCTTGTATGACATCAGTAAATTCTAAATTCTTCAGAATGTCTCTTTCTATGCATATCAATGTTAATGAAGACAGGTGTTCCTTCTGCATTGTTGTTCTATGTTTATTTTTAAATTAATAAATTTTGCGAAACATGATACGAAAGAGTGCATTTAATATTATTATTGTTTGCCCATGGGCCGTTGACCAGCATAAGCCTCAATTTCAAAAGTAGGGCCCCTCCAGGGCCCTACTGGACCGCGGGGCCCGGGGCTGCAGCCCCCCCTTAATCCTGGCATGCTTAGAAAACAAACGAAAGGCACCAAAAAAAGCTGTCAATGCTCCCGATGAAGTTATTGTTGCATTAAAAGATATTAAACTCATCATGCCACCCCCAGTTT